ACTCTCACATTTTTTAATAGCAAAATACACCTTGAAATAAAGTAATAGTCAAATTTGCTGATAAGCTTACCATAAACTTGCTTCCTTTGCATCTTATATTTTATACCAGAAATCGTCTGACATGTCACTAAGACAAGACATTTAAGGAGACATTTCCAAAGTTTGCAAAAACCTGTTTCTTTCCTTAAAAAAGAAGCCTTTTCTTCCAAATTTCCTTTACAGGGCAGAAAAGCTAAAATGTTCCTATAGCAATTAGACAAAATGAAGAATAAGCCTTTCATGTCAGGGCCAAGTCAGTGCCAAATTATTAGCTAAGGCAATAAAGCCCATGGACAGGCACATAAGTTGAAACATTTGGGGATTTTAGCAGTAACAGCAGACATCTTGGAAGTGACCTAATCTTGATTACTAGTTCAGCCTCAGGTTTTAGCCTGATATTCAACAAGACACTCACTACTCTCTGTTTCTATCTCATTCTTTGGCTGTACAGAAATGTGCACGGGGTAGAGCAGAACCCTTGGACATCTGTGTTACCGAGTCCTGAAAACAACCCCTTTTTCTTTCTTGCAGAGAAAGAGCATGTTTCAACTAGACTTTAGATGTGGTCTCAAGCTTTAATTTTGGACCCGAGTTCAGTGTAATTTCCCAGGCCCAAGGATTTCACATACAAAATACTGGTTTTGAATCCCTCTCTAATTTTAACCCACGTCACAGGTGTGCAGCTATAGATAAAACTCTGCAACAGCCCAGGCAAATCGATAGTTCCACCTGAATGAGCACACCCACACCACCTGCAGCCCAAGCAAAAGCTCCCCAACACTGCCCACGGGGTCTTTTGTGGGTCAGGAAGGGGACCATCACAGTAGCAAGTGAGAGCAGGGAGAATGCTATTCTTACCCCTAGTGCCTGATTACAGAGGTGAGAAAATGCAAGAAGGAAGAGCAAAAAACGTCAGTGAGAAAGGCTCATTTCAAAGAAATGGTGGGGAAAAAATGTTTTGTTTTTCCAGAAGGTCAAAGGAGACTCATTATTAAAGTAAAAAAAAAAGAATGCATTGGTTTAAATAGCTTTCAAAAATAAAAGATAAAAATAAAACTAATTCCAGACCTGCATTTTTTTATTGCTCAATACTAATCAGAGGTCTGCTACTTAAGACAGATTTCTCTAAGTCTTAGTTTAGCAGATCTAATAAACTAGAACTAAATGACAAGAGGCTAAAATTGTGCTGTTGTCTTCATCATTCTTAGCCACAACAACAGGAAGTCCATCCTGTAATGCCAGGTGTGCCTGGGCTTGCTTCTCTGCAACCCTTTACATGAGGACAAGCCACCACCATGGTCACACTTTGAGCTTTTCTGCTGTGCCTGCCACTGTCAGAGTTTACACCAAACATGGAAAAGTGGAGAATTATGTCCAGTATTTTTCAGGCTTCCTTGAAAACTGTTACTTGCCGTGTAAAATTATGGCTTCATTTCTGTCCTGAGGTGGTTACACACCTGTGACAGGCAAGTACACATCCACCTGTAACGGGAAAGTAACTTTCTCAGGACAGGAGGTAGCCGTACCTCTGATGTAGCCTGGGGTGCTGGTATTCAAATGAAACTAACCGCTCTGATTTTAGAACGTGGGGGTCATTTCTGCATTAGTGACCAAATGTTTCCATCCATTTTCTGCAAATACAAGAATATTACGCAGCTGTACCTTGAGTGATACCATTGTGCTGCCTGAGTACAGCAGCTGTATGTGCACCTCAGATGTGTAGGTTGAGGTCCCCCTCTTTAGAGGGGAGAGATGCCAATTTAAACAACACATGAACTACTAATTCTGCCTTTTCTCCATTTTGTTATTTTGATTCCTTATCTTAGACTCATTCGAACTTCTACAACATGACCAAAAGTGTTTTGTCTGTCCATCCCTCTTTCCCTGTGCAATGCAGCCACAAATACTACTTCAATCTCCCCTGCTTTGTGCCTGCAGCTGACAGGGCTGTGGCTGGGTGCCACAGCACTCAGCCTGAGCTCCCTGTGCCTCGGGGAGATGGATGCTGTATGCTTGCAGCCATCAGTCTTAGAAAAAAAAAAAAAAAAAAAAGATCTAACAACCATCCAGAGGCTGTTGGCACAGCACAGCACCACATCCAGGACTGACAGACAGCTGCTGCTTACATTGCTGTTTCTATTATTCAGTAAAGAGAGCTATGGTAATTAATAACACCCTGACTTTTAGGACAACGCTCCTGTTGCTGCATGTTAAACTTTAAAAAAATATATAAACAAAATAGAAAACCCTCCCTCTTGCTGCTATCATTTACAGTGGTCTCCTGAGCAGCACATCTTACCTGGTTGGTATGTTGTAAATTGTTTCCTTGCATACTGTACTGACTCGATTTAAATAGAAGACAGGAGACTCTCTCAAAAGCTCACAAACCTGAAAAGTAGCGTTGTTCATGTGAAACTATTGGAAAGGATTCTTTTTTTTTTTTTTAAATGATGTCGACATATGTAAGTAAACAAGTTAATGTTCTTCTCCATCGGTGCTTGAGACATTAATGCATCCAGCATCAGTCTAAGTGGGTACAGCTGATAAGGGCTGTGCTGCTTACACTGAGCTCACCACATGACTCATGGTTTGTGTTTGTTTGCAAACTTGGAGAGAGGAATGGGGCATTTTTATTTTTATTTTTGTTAGCATTAACACAATTTTAACTCTCATCTGCTTTCTTCTGAGCTCCCATTCCTGATTCAGCACGCATGAGTCTGCTAATGAAATCCAGATGTCAGACAAAAAAACAATAAGCTCTCCCACCCATCTGGTGGATCAGGTTTCTCAGAGATTGGGAAAAAAAGAACCAGGAGAGATTCCTAGAATGGCTGAAACTTTAGATTTCAGCATGTTTTCAGAGACCAGAGGGCAGCGGGGGTGGGGGGGTGGAGGATAGCTTGGAGGTAAAATTGGTCACAAATCAAGATTCTTGGTGGAAAAGTTGAGAAGAAATCAAGTGATTATCAAATACCTTGAGCCCTAAACAGGCCTAGTATGTCCCAAATTCAGCACTGCTACTGAAAAATTACACTGAGCATCACAAATGGCAATTCTGAGTCAGAAATAAAAAAGCAATGTGAAGGAAATTACTGAATTGTTTGCTTCCTTGGCTGTGCTGTTTCAGGGTCCCAGACCACCTAGAGACTTGATAAACCTGGAAGGAGAATGGTAACATTGTCCCCTGGTTTTCTTTGGAGGATTATCTGCAGTCTCACAGCTATAACTCCAGGCTTCCTCTCTGAAGCCTGACCCCAGTCACAGGCTGAGCTGCACACAAGGTGCCCGGGTCCTTTCCAAAACTAAGAATTCCCCGGGGACGATTCTTTCCACAGCCCTCAGTCTCTTTGGCAGCCTCTTTCCAGCCCAAAGGCTTTCTCCATAACCCCTTCCCTGACCACAAAGCTTTAGACTGAGCAGTCCAGTCCTTCCCCAGACTAAGAATTCCTCACAGGAATTTTGTTTTGCAGCCCTCAGTCTCCTTTGCCAGCTCATTTCCCAACAGCCGTAGCTCTGGGTCATCGTCTTTCAACACGAACCCTAATGCTTGGCAGAGCCATGGTGCAGGAGCCCCACAGCATACAGAGACCCAGTATGCCATAAAGGTGAATTCCTACTGTTAGTCTTCTGGCACTTCAGAAAATTATATGTAGCCCCCTACAACTATATCTTCACATCTTTTTCTCTCTCTGTTTTACATGTCTAGAATATGATATAATCCTTACAATTACTACACTTTTAGGCCTGAGAAGAAATTTCTGTACCATGAGTCTTGGGCTAAGGAGCCACTTGGAAAAAGAAGTTTTCTTCATTTTTAGGGGAACTGCTTAATAAAAATAAATTTTTACTTAGGCTTTTTATATGACTAAGTCAAAGGAATGTTTGCAGTAGTTTTCAGACAAGTGTGTAATTGAAAAAAACATTGTCCTTTGTGCTTTCAATAACATCAGAGCATATTAAGGTATGCTTTGACTCCAAGGCGTGTTCCTGTAGGCACAGGTTGGGTTTTCCTCATTTCCATTGTATTTGATTTAAAACAAGCCACAAGTTGCTTTTATGCTACTTTTGCCTTTATGTTTCAACAGCAGCACCCCTCTAGATTGGCAAGATAGAGAGGAAGGTTGCTCCACTGCTACAGAAGTTCTGTCCTTCACAGGCCCTTCCCAGACCTGTGGATGGAGGATTTATGGCCATGAAGCAAAAGCTCCCTCTCAGTCACTTGAGTCAGTTCTGTGTCCGTTCCCTATAATTTAGCATCTGAGCTTTCTCAAGGCATGCGTCTGTGGTTTGCATTCTTAGTCTCTTCCCAGGGTCAGTCTTGCGTGCGTAATGCAGCATTTCTGTTTAGTAACTGTCTCCCCTAACATGGGAGAAATGAGGTCAGATTTGCCTTCTCCCATTCAAAGTGCAAGGTACCTTGCTGCTGAGCTTTAGCTTCTGTGAGAGCAAGTAACACTGCCTCAGCTCAGCTCACAACCCAGGAAAGCTCAGTTCTGCTCACTAATGAATGCTGCTCTGCTGGTAGCAATCTCCTTTGTGCCAGAAAGCAGAGCAGTCAACAGAAGGGACCTTCTCTCAGCACTTGCACCTCCTCTCCGAGCTCTCGGCAAGCTTTGCCTCTGCTCCGGACCAGTTGGTCCCAGCTAATTCTGATTCAGAAGTCCTGTGACCATAGGTAGTGAGAAGACATAATGCAGCATTCTGCAAATATGGGGTTTTCAAGCTTCGCATCTCTGAATGCTGTACTGTTGTGCATGGAGGACAGTGGCAAAGGCCCATAGCTATATCCAGTATAGACATAAATCCTGTACAGAATCTCTCTCTCTTATTATATATAATAATATATATATATATAAAATGATATATATATATATATAAAATTTTATATATATATATATATATATATATATATATATATATAGAGAGAGAGAGAGAGAGAGAGAGAGAGAGAGAGAGAGAGAGAGAGAGAGAGAGAGAGAGAGAGAGAGAGAGAGAGATTCTATATATATATATAGAGAGAGAGATCCAGTACAGAGATAAATCTTCTGACCATCCGGAGAGAGCATCAGTTTAGCATCAGCACAGACTCTGGGAGGTGTCTGCTGTCAGACTGAACAGAGCTATTGAATGTTTGTGCCTCCTATAAAGGGAACCACTCTGCAGCTACAGGCACTTCGAAGTACTAGATCAGGAGATCACAGATTATGTATTCAGCGAAGGTTATCGAGCCGCTCATTATTCATGAGCAGTTCTTATCTGAACACTGGTTCCCATTGGTGATTATTTGCGATGATGGATGGTGGGTGATTAGAGCTGGGGGCAGTCTGTAGAGTTTGCCTTAGAGCCTGTGTTGTTGTAGCAGTTCATCTGGTGGTGGTATGCAGAGATTCAACAGGACTAGCGTGCAAAGATAGCACAGTGGGGACTAATGGCAGAGCTGTAATGATCACTGCTCTTTCTGGGGGCAGGCTGAGTGGCCCTTTCCACAAAGGATGCACACCACCTCAATGCAATCCCTTGGATCTTGCCCATCTTCCTCAGGAGGAAGAGCAGTATCTTATGAAAGCATCGCTCTTCATAAACACTTCTTATCATGTCTTTTCTTTTTACCTCATAGCCTTCTCTCCTACAAGCCCTAATACATTTGATGGCTGATAAGGGCCAAAAGCAGAAGCTAGTTGAGATAGGAGCCTTGGAAGTGTGAGAAGTGCGACGACAGCTGTTGCCTGAAGACTGCCAGCTGTTGGAACATAATCGGGGAGGTCAGTGTACAGCATCACCTTAAGTTTATTTAAATAGGGATCTATATCTATGGCGAAGACCTACTATTTTCAGTAGGAGCTGGAGTCAGACGTAAGTGACTTCGGATGGTGAGCCTTCAGAAGCAGGGTATTGTCTTGTTCCTGCAGAATTATTGGAGCATGCACAAAGGGTCTGACCCTGCTGACCCCACGTTCTGCACTGTGTCATACCTTCTCTTTATCTCACCTCCATTCTTGAGATTCTTCCCCAATCAATTACTCTCCTTATCCAGCTGCTACTGTTAAATCCCTCATTCCTTTTCCAGAGTATCAAAGATCAGGATTTTGACGCATTCAGACTCCTTTTCCAAGGTGTTTTCCACTGATGTAGAATAATTAAGGCCAAAGAAGAGAGATTTAGCACACTGAAGCTGACATAATGGAGAACGGAAAGCAGAGCTCTTGTATTTCTTGTATACAGTTCCCAGAGACACAAACCTTATCTAGCTTTCTAACCTCAATGTTATTTTTGCTATACTTTTCTCTTTTAATCTCCAGTGGCTGCATTTCATTCATCGCTGCAAGCCACTCTAGAAAGCATATTGTTTATCTGCATGGTATATCTAACAAGCTAAGACACAGTGGTTTCATCTCTGAATGTTTTTAGCACACTTTGAATAGGTACATTACAATAAGGAACATAACCAAAGTGCAGTGAGCCCCAAGAGTTAAATCTATAGATCCAGAAAAAAAAACACAACACCCAACAACTTGAAGTTCTTGAAAAAGCCTACAGTACTTTTTAGTCAGACTCCATAAATCAGACTGCAAACCAGCAGTTGAATATCCAGCAGTAAATTTTCACTGTCTCCTTATAACACTGATGTATTCCATACTGCTTCGTAGAAACCTGACTCCTTCTCATGACAGTTCTAGCTAGGATGAGTAACTGAATTTGGACACTGTGAGTACCACCACACTGTACATCTCCAGAAGAGAAAGCTCCTTGGAACTGATTTTTCTTTTAAGCCCTCCCTGCCTTTTCTGTTGGGGGTAGTCCACATGAGCCAACGAGATAAACATCCCACAGGCTACAGAGCCAGTGGTCCTTCTCACTTAGCTGAGCCTTTGCATAGAGAATTAGGACTGCATGCAAACAGCATGCAATTTCCAGCTCCAAAGGAGCTATTATAATACAAATGCATCTCCTGTGAGATAGAAAATAAGATATATAATTGTGACACAGATGATCAGGAGAAAAACAGCCTTTTCTTTCAAATACTGAGTTCTTTCTACAGAAAGAGGCCACAGGTCAACTCAACGAATCAGTAGTATTTCACCTGAGTAGTTGATACAGAAATTTCTCGAGGCACTCGCTACATTTTAGATGCTGCAGACAATGAACCTCTGAATACAATGGATTACAACATGAGTAATAATAATAAAATAATAATAAAATAATAATCTAGAGTGAAAACAGGTAAAATTTTGACTTCAAATTCTACTTTCTCTGTTCCAATTGAATGGGAAAGAGGGGAAATAACAATAAATTAAAACCCAAACTTCATTTTAAGTCATAATACCTGCATTAGCTTTACTCTTTATGTCAACTTTTTCACAGAAAATGTGCTTTTTTTTTTTCATTGCAGGCAGTTTGCAATTATTTCTACACTTCAAACAGTGACAGGACTGGGAGCTGCAAAGCCTTCCCTCTTCTCTGTTGCTATCAGTTTTTATGTTACCACCTCTCCTAAATTCTCAGCACTGCTTTCTGTGTTGGACCTTATAACTGAAGGCAGTCAAGCTTAACAGGGTCATTGCTCACAGACACGTGAGCTTGCTTCTGTTCAAGTCTGTGGGGATGCATCTGTTTGTAATATTGGATGATGTGGCCCACAATATCTGTTTGCGTAACAAACAGGAAAAGCCAGGTAATACTAGTAGCTGAGAATTTCGGCTAGTGTGGCATTCCGACTTCATTTAGCTGTTGTATTTACGGGATGGAAACAACTCGAATTGTGCAATGGATACCTTAATCTTGAGTCAGAAATGGCAAGACAATTCTCTAAACCATGCATTGTACTTTGTATTTTTCTTCAAGTTTCCACATCAAACAAATATTTCTCATTCTAAATTATGCCTCCTCGCTAGAAAGCTATCTGCTTCTTTCTGATTCAAGGCTGGAGATACAAATGTTGACCACCTACAGCCCACCCAACATGAGAACCGCAGGTTGAATACCAACAGTGCTATAGAGCCAGCCTGTGACTGATGTGCTATCTATTTCCAGCATTTAACTGCTCAGTTAGGTCCTTGGAAACAGTAAAACTTTATGCTTGTTTCTCCAAAGCTGACCAAATTGCTCTGAGAACTGAATTAGAAAACATTTTCTGTCTCTCTGATTTCACATTCACCTGGGCTAGAATGTAGTTGTGTGCAACCCATCCGATCATTCAGGTCATTGCATCAGCCACCCAGCCTCTCCCTTATTTACCACACCTCAAAAATTCTGTCCCCTGCAGACTTTATTAGTCCTTATTTTGCCTCTGGTCCTTTTTTGGCAACAACTCCATGTAATATTATCAAACAGAAACAAAAGGGAACTGTTGCTTCAGCATCCACATTTTGAAAATGGTGAATTTTCATTTGCAGATTCAGCTCACCTCTAAATTAGCTTTGACGAGCACCTCATTACAACCAGTTCAAGTATGGGGCTGATTCAGGGAACAGTGAATTTGGGAGACTGAGTGACTCACACTGACAGGTACTAGGTACTAAAAGTTACCTCATACTAGTCATCATTGTGAGTAAGAATCAAAGGTGTTCTAGCAGTTTTCAAAATATAAAAACCTTTCTAATTTCTGAATACATGATTTATGATTTCATGTATTTGTAAAAAAAAAAAAAAAAAGAAAAAAAGAATTATCATAGTTAAAAGTCTGCTTAAGTTCTCTTGCTGCATAGTAATGTTATAGAATCATAAACAGTTAATGCCTTAAGTGTTTAACTATGAGGACTGAAAAAATAGGAAACCAAAGGCGACTTCTGCAAAAATAAAAAAATAATAATGAAAGAAACACTTCAAAGTTATGTTTGACAAAACACCATGGGATTATAAAGCATGGACAAAAATAGCAGAAATAAAGATGCTAATTTAGACTTGAAACAACATGATTTCTGTTTTATCAAATGACTGAAGAAAATAGAAATAAACTCAAATATTATTTTTGAACATTTCTTTTAAATTCAAGTTATTTTGAAGAAAAACTATTTCACTGGGTTTCACTGGCCCTGTAACTTTTTCTGTTCAAGTCAACCTCCCAACTTTTTCTTTTTTTTCCACATGGCAAAACATTGTTTTAGAGTTTACGTATATTTTTCCACGTGTCTGTTTCTCACAATCTCTCTCGTTAAGAGGACACCCTCCAATTCCATACTCATCAACAGTGAGGGAACACCTTCAGTCACTAAAGATACCAGCCTCCAGATGGAAGCCTACTTACAAGAAATTCCTGTCTCGAGATGCTAGTCAGTGTCACTACATTTCCCCCACCCACCTCTTGTAGATGGTCATTCACCTTTTGGGTCTCTGTTACAAGATTGCATCCTTTGATCAGTATCAACAAATAAAAGGAATCAGTGTGCTCCTGCCCAGGTATCTGGGTGAGTTCCTTCCATCTTTTTGGAAAGAAAGAAGGGTACGTTAACGTTTCACTAAACACACAGTTAACTGTTTTTCTGTACTGCATCTTAGTGGTATGTAACAAACTTAGCAGTGCCATGCAGAGGATGCTGGCTGAAGAAGAATGATCAGAGGACATTTGTTACAAGACAGCAATATTCTCATTTGCCTTAAAATTCTGTTTCTTATCAGAAACTGGACCTCCTGCATTTTACCACAGTACAACAGCATTTGCCAGATATATCATGCAAATAGATGGGTACAATAAACATCTTCCTCTTGTAAAATTTTATGTTCCTACCTAATTCTTCTTGTCTACAACAAGATACCAGGGAAGTAGTATTTTTTTCCTTAGATATTTTCCTGAGACCAAATGCATCTGGACATGCTCAGTTTGTGGAGCACTGATAGCAGTGTGACGTGATATGTACATAAGCAACCGACTGATCTTTTGCTTCCTGGGAGGTGCAGCTGGGGTAGTGCTTCTCTGTGAACAAGAACATGGACAAGAGAGAAAAGCAAGAAGAATCAAAAGTAAGTACCTTCCCAGCTTGGAAAAGATATCCAAATATCTGTAGTGAAGCAGTCTGAAATAGCTCGGTAGCTTGCTGGAGAGGAGGTGGGAGCAGGTTCTGCTGTACGCCCCTGCCAGGGAACCTTTGCACAGTTGCTCTGACAACTTTCACTTTTGGTGCTAAATGGCTTTATGAGCCACCCCATGTTCCTCCTAGTGAACAATGCTCTTGTAGGACTTGCCTTCTGATATGGAATTGCTGTTAGTGGAACTGGAGCTCTAAGTCTGTCCGGTGTGTCAGTGAATCAATACAGTGTGAAAATAGCCACTGGTCCTCCTGCAAGGAAGTGCGAGAGGAAGGGTGTGAAGTGATCCCCGCATGCCCTGTTCTCGGACTTTGTCCTCACATTTCCTCATAGCTCTGATACACAAAACAAGGAACTACAGCTCCGCAGGCAGGAATCTCAATACTGGTATCATCAACAGTATTACATATGCATTAGAAACATGTTTTCTCCTTTTAATCTTCAGTACTGAGCATAATGTAGTAGTTCTAGGCATTTAGCAAATACAGACCTCAAATCCAACTCTATTTTCTGTTTAGTTAATATTATATCGCCATAGGGGAAAAATAAAAAAGGAAGATAAAATCATGATTACCTGTCTTGAATTACATATTACAAGTTTTGTTACTTGGAAACAACAGAAGTGTGCTCTCCCCTTGAAGTACACGGGTGCTCTAGGAAAATACAATCGTCTCTTCAGCAGAAAGAGGTGGCTGATCTAGCAGGGAACATCCCTCTGCTGTCACCCACCAGCCAAAAGAGAACTCCATGAAGATTTTGACCATCTTACCAGCAAATGGTAAAACACAACATGCAAAATCTTAATGGGCATGAAACGGTGATAAAGTTATTGTTTGGGTTTGAAAGAGGGTCACCGGCATTCAGGCGCTTTCTTAGATGGCCTTTGGTACATATGTGGATGGCATCAGTGCATGTATTTGTGGGCAGGCAGCTATACAGAAAGGTTTTTGTAATGGCTGTGGCACCATTATTCACAACCTCAGTAGGTGGGACCAGAATGAAAACAAAATTGGCCCCAAACAACACTGCTGAAGATGTCCTGTGCACAAAAAGGGGTGTGATGTGCCCTCTATTAGAGTCTCAAACTAGCTCTAGCTCAACCAAGATGTTGTTTTCATACTTCTTGCATTCCTTGTGCTGGTGCAGAAGCCGTGCAGAAAGCCTCGCCTGTAACAAACTGTATCATTTCTGTTCTTAAAGAGTTGGCTTTGGAACCAAAAAGCTGTGTATTGCAAAAACTGTCTGCAAGACAGCCTCCTGCACGTGTTTCTTCTGTATCCAAACAGAAGAGTTCTGTAGGATGCCTGACAATTTTTTGTGATGTAGTCAGTCCCAGCCAGATGAATCCAGTGAAGTGCTTTCACATCATTCCTACGTGTGCCTGTCTGTCTTTCATAACATGACTGGCTGTGACACAGCACAGTCGCAAGCTGAAACGCGAGATGAATGCTGCCCCGTCCTCCTAAGAGCTCCGTCTGACGCTCCACACCTCGCCTTGAAATGCGGTGACACCAGAACCAGTGGCAGTCCTGCCCGTTAAGGGATTACGCCCTGTGGGATGGTAGTAAGCATTCAAATAGCCATTTGTTTTGGTACTGATCACGTAGTTTCAGTTGACAGTGTATTTCTGGAAAGAAAACCGGCACAGTGGGTGGATAATAGTGTGACCGGTCTGTGGAAAATATTCTTCAATCAAAACCCTGCTAGTTCAGTGAACCCGTGCTTAATGCACTCAGGGCTGGTTAACGAACGGCGAAGTGAAATTCTGGAAAACACCAGTTTGCTATTTTGCCATTCTTGGGAACCAGATGAAATGAAGAAAATAGTGGTACCCTGAGGAACACACTGGTCAGCTAACACAAGTTAATATCACACACTTTTTTTTCAACAAGTTTCAGCCAACATCTGCTTTCATCTCACAGTGGAACAAGAGCAATACTACTAGCAATTTTTATCATAACCACTTGTCCTGGCTTTATACTGCTGTGCCCTGTTCTTCCACACAGTAACCAAGGTCCCTGGTCCCACAGGGATGGGAAATGTCAACAGTGGAAGGCAACTGTTCTCTACAAAAGTAATAGGGCAAATAAAAGTTAGAAACCTTCCAGAATACCTTGGGTTTTCTATGGCAGACTCTGTTTTTCTTATGGCATCCTGCCAACAAGATTCACTACTAATGCTTTGGTGACAGCATCAGTGCTGCATCACAGCAACTTCAGGCCAAACTGTGGGCTAGTTTTACGTACTTCTGGTCCAGAAGCTGCTCTTGCAAACTGCCTCACAAGTTACAGCCTAGACAGTTCAATTCTGTTCAGTAAGTTATGAAAACATTGTAAGCCTATAGAAAGATAATCCCATTTACTGTTCAGTGAGGATTGTTCCCTCTGCTATTGTCTCTTGCAGTGCCCCAGAAATACAACAGAGATATTGTACGTGGACCTCCCCAGTTTAGCTGCAGCATGCAGCGTGCTGAGGAATTTCGGTCACAAAGAACATCCTTTTTTACAAGGAGGCAGTAATGTGCCCTTCAAATCCATTCGCCTCACGTAAAACAGAGCTGTATTTGTTCTGCCTAATGGACTTTGCATGGGGCATCTCTAGCACAGTCAGAAATATATTCCTTGGCTCATCCAGTCTGCCCTAAGGCACTGCAGTACCCCACACATTCTCCTCAGGGAATTCATGCTTTTCAACATCATACCCGGTCCTCCTTGGTAAATGTGTGTTCCTGGAACTTCAGGCTAGCACGTTGCTACTGGCTACATGTCCTAACAATACAATATACTCTGGAAACAGCATAGGGCTTTTGTGCTACATTTTTAATACAGCAAGTGACTGCACTGTGTGTCTGTAGTTACTGAAGGCAGCCATTTTTGCTTGTTGCATTAAGGAAAAGGGTTGTTCAATGGAAATCACATTGCTACTTCAATGAGATTGTAGCAACTAAAAATAGCGAGCTCTAAAGTGAGAAAATAACATGGCTTTCAGTAACTGACACTAAGTCATGGAGAAATTCCTGGAGAACTTCTCATGGAGCCTTGCTGAGTCAGCAAGCTCTTCCAACTTTCTTCCCCTCCTCTGGTAGTTCCACAGCTCAACTTTACAGTCATGAAATCTTAACCCCTCTCCTTTTTTTTTTTCTCTTTTTTTTTTTTTTCTGCAGGTCATCATTATATTTACTAGTTGCAGAACCGAAGAGTTCGATTTTTGCCTTTTAATAAGCACAGACATTGTGCACAGTGACTTTGAAATCGGTTCTGCTTACTCTCTACCACAGGCACAACAATAGAACATGCAGGCTTCTGTGGTTGGAGTGAATTAGGCTAAATGTGAACTCACTGAGGCGACAGACTGAATCCCAGCCAGTTTCCTGCACAACGGGCTTTTCAGATATTTTTGTTTGCATTTAGACTTCTTGTAATGTGTAACACATTCATTTGGATGTGAGAGAATGGTCTTGTGGTTTAAGCTCTGGACTCGAATTCAAAAAATCTAGGTTGAATGCTGACTAGTTGTATGCTTCTGGGTTAGCAATACCGTCTGTCCATGTTTTATTGTCAAGGAACTGTGGCAAAATCCTGTCTTAACTATTGGAGTCTAAACTCTGGTGGCCTATGTGTTTTTTTATTGTTTGTTTTGCCTTTTTTTTTTTTTTTTTTTGGTCTTTTTGTACAGCTCCTACTTCAATAGACTCTGGATCTCTGCTTGCTAATAAATAATAAACAATTTGCAGACAAGGTTTGAAAAGCACTTCATCACGGCTGGTGCACACAGGTCTGGGGATAAGTGTTATGAAGTTAGTACAGCTGTCATACCACAGATTTACAGAACGCTATTTACAAAAGACATGGGAAACCAGCATATTCAAATATGGTTCAAAACTTCCAAGTGGAACCTGGTTTAGCCTTCTGGTCCTGCCAAGCAGGGCTGGAAAGCAGACGAGAACAGTCTTTCATGAGATTTTCCTATTCTGGTCAGGCCAGAAATTTTGCAAGAGCAGCCTTTCTCATGGTATTTTGGCACTTCTGCTTCTGGTCTTGCCTGAAGCCTGGAGGCAGAGCCATGTGAAAACACTAATGGAAAAAGCAACTTCTCTCAATTCATTTGATCTTCAGCTACAGCCTGGAAGATTCGTGTTCTTTCTCATACTTTATCTATGCCTGGCTGTTATTTGCAGGTCCTAGTGTTTTTTAACTCATGCCTCCTTCCTTTGCTGTTGTAAACATGCAGATTCACTCAGTCTAACCATTCCTCATCAAAATCACAGGAAGAAACTGAAAATGTACAATGAAATCTCAATCTTAAGAGATTAATTTTAATAAAGGGGGAAAATGTGCTGTGCATAGAGCCAACACTGAAACTACCATAATACCACCATCCTCTTTTTCCCAGAAGTTCCCCACTTAATGGGAATAACAGAATGGCTGACTCCAGCATGGACTTGATGTAGCCCCTGTAATCAGTACCAAGACTACAAGCGCCAATATCATGTACACAGTGGATCTTCAAAACAGAAGTAATTTTGCATGGTTTTCCTATCCATGTTATCATCAAGGGGGTAAATTCCTTGAGGCAAGGACTCCCTCCCTCTATGTGTTTCTACAAAGCCTAGCATGATAGGTAGCTTCTCACAAATAGTGAACAAAAATGTTAGTAGACCTTTCTCCTCTGCAACTTTTACCTTCCATGTACTGCAGAGAGTCACAGAACACACAAAGGTTTATAGGAAAGGGTCTCAGACCCTCTTGCCAAGAAGCTTTGCTTCTGCACAGAAGAACAAGGAGTCTTACTGCATTTTCCCTTTGACAAATGGGAAGATCTTTACTATGGTCAGCAAGCAGAAAAAAAAAAAAACAAAAACATTAAGTCCCCACTTTCCCTCCCCCAGTTTTTCTTAGGACGCTGTTTGTGAAGACTTCTTATCTAACCTGCTTGGGGCTATTTGCAGCATTACTCTAAATACAGTGACATTTGTGCCAGCATGCCTGCCTGATTTCTCTCTCACCCCGTCTATCTGCAACCACTTGTTCACAGCAATCATCTGCCAACAAACAAAAGTTGAAGTCTGGGGAATTTATAGGAAGAAGCTTTGTGGGCTTTTTCTTTTTTTGTTGTTGTTGTTTTTGGTTTTTGTTTTGTTTTTCCTGGAGTTGGGAGTAGAAGGGGATAGGAGATGAATGGACTGAGCCTTTCAGTCTTTCTTCAGGGTAGCACAGAGCATTGTCCTCACCTAATCATTCTCACCCAAGAACACATGTATGCATATTAGGACCTCTCGCATCTGTTCTCGGACTGCATTCTGGAGACAGGTGATAGCCATACTCTGGACCACTGAAATTTCATTTAGACTGCAATTTATTTCTTGCTTTAACTACAGCTGTTTCTCAGATGATAAAAATAGGCTCCTGTGTTGTTGCTCCTCTGCCTGTTTTGATTAAAACAAGATGCATAGCTAGATCCTGTTCTGATCCATATGGCCCAGAAGAAGGGAAGGGTGAAACAAAGTTTTCCTTCTAGCAAAATTCTGGGGAAATGGAAGAGAAAATTAACAAGGAACAGATACTTCCCAAACCTGCAAACCTTTTTATAGCCTTACCTAGAGTTTGCAAATTGCAGTGGGCAGATCACTATACCGCAGTTGTCTCGGTGCCTCAGTTTGTTAAATACATGTTAATAGAAGAAAGGTACGTGCCATGACAAAACCAACAGCCCAGGAGGAAGTCAGCATTAGATCCTTCCTCGTCGCTGTGACACGCATGAGATACCACCGTGTAGTTCTGTTGCCTATACACCAAGGGAGGAGTTAAGGACAATAATCACGTCTGGCATCAGTGTGGGCAGCAGCTACTGCACAACAGCAATCACCATGTCGGGCTTCAGAGGGGCTCACCAGACCTTGAAGAAATATCTCTGAGAGACATCAAAATGAAGATTTTGGGTGACCTTTAATTTCAGTAACGATGCTGTACTTGGTCTCAAGTATTTCTAGCTAGTACAGGCCTTACAGAATAGTACGTAGGCATCACCACCTTGCGGAGGTGATTGGAGCGGAGCACGATGCCGCCAGCAATCAGAATTTAGCCAAGAACGTGAGGCCAGCTATGGAGGATTAAGTCATCTTATGGTTACATGCCTCAAACTTGACTAGTGACCTAATCAACAGTTTGTTGTCATGGATCATTAGGTGCTGACTGCGGAAGAAGCACAAGAGATGACTGTTTTCAGTCACAGGAGTGAGAATAGCTATCAAAACACAGCACATTTAATTGAATCAGATGAAATATTTGTGACTGCCAAAGTCTGTACTTGAACTAGATTACAGCTAACCTTCCACTGAGCTCTGACCAAGTATGGATACTTGGCTTTTTCTCATCTTGTTGCATGTTTATAGACCTTTGCTACGCTGAATTCCAGAGGAACAGGAAGCAGACACGTTGAGTACTACAGGAAAAGTTATCGTCAAGTTAGCCCATACAACCAAAGCACAGGTGATACTAAAAGGTTAAAGGAATCTTTCATCTAGATATATCCAAGTCACTTTAGCAGGCCTAGAAAGTTTTTGATAGGAATCTGAGGCTGGGAATGTTTATCTGAACCTAGCCTTTGAACCTCCACAAATTCTGCCCATTATCAAATAGGTTTAGAAAAGAGAAATAATGTAACCCAGATTGAAGTGGAGACTACCAGGTTAATTATGAGCCCTGGATGGGCTGAAACAGATCAAATTACTTGGATTACACGGAAAAGAGTTATATTAAATGCCCAGAGCCTTTTGTTAGGGTACACAACAAAAACGGGGTGAGGAATGAAAAAAACACATCAATGCGCACACAAAAAAAGCCAGAGTGTTGATTCTATATCCTACACATCTTTGTAACTAGTTATCTTTGATCATGAAGCACCTCTTGTCCTTTAGTGCTGAACTTGCAATACTGAAAAGAGCAGAACATTTTATATTAAATTATTTACTTATGGTCTTTATGAAAGCATTTCATAGTTCAGCTGCCTGGATTGCTTTCCGTCTTGATCTGGCACAGCTTTATCTCACAGCAAAAGGTGCTAAATCATCAAGTGTGCTCAGGCACATCTGTGATGTCACATCACATGCAGGAATTATATATTTATTATGTGAGGTGGTGTGCATCTGTCCTAGTAGGTCATTCATGTCGTTGTCTTGATCAGTGACACACTTTTTTTCCTTTACATGTGCACTGTAAAGTTTTGATTTACTTTGAGAGCACAGACAGCTTTGGCAAGGACTCAGTTTTTAAAGTGAGCAGTTGCACGCACCTAACTGGACAAGTGAGCTGATCAAAACCAGGAGATAACAGAGTATATTTATAGGGAGATACATTTTTGGATGCCTGTGGGAAAGGCCAGTTTCCTAGTCAGGGATGACATAGGCTGTGCATGCTTACTACAGCTTTGGAAACAAGTTTTCCTTTTACTATTTTCTTTACATTCTCAGTGAAAGCAACTTGCAGATAAATCCATGTTACTCATGTCAGCTCTAATGCACTATTAGGCTTAATTTTAGTATTTCTCTGTTGTTGTTGTTCCGAAGTCTCCAGGACAAATTCTCTCCTGGCTTAGCTCCACTGACTGCAGTGAAGCTGTATCAGAATGGATTTAGCCCTACAGTTTATCTTTTTTTTTTTTCCTCTTCAGTGCTGCTGTTGTGCTTGGCTAAGTACGTGACCAGCATATAAAGACAGCAAGCTTACATTAGAAACAAGTCACTAGAGAAACCGAGAAATCTTTCTGAGCTATCAAATGTCTTTTCATGGGGTGTAAATGACAGCACAGTTCATTTCCTTTCTTTTCAATATCTTCTGGCAGAAGGACAGTGCTAACTGTCGTGTAAACATCAAGTTTTACAAAAGATTTCCCAAAAGTAAGTAAAACACTAGCTAGTGTTGCTTAGTTCACTTATCCCATTGTTTATCCACAAACCTGAAATTCCCATTATGGAATTACAAACAAACAATTACAAGCACAACTTTCAAACAACCCCAAAAAAGGCTCTTTTCAGGCAACATAATCTGTTTCAACATACCCATGTTCCACATTAATGGTTCAGCTGGTAAAACAGCTTCCTGAGTTTGTTGCTGATCTGCTGTGCAGCAGACCCCTGGCAACTCTGCCAGAGAATGCCTCCTAGGCCATCTAGGATAGGGCGTTCAACCACTAATGCAGGATTTTCCCTCTCATGATGTCCTGTTTTCAATGACTCTGCCATGAAGCCTCCGTGCTCAACACCGAGGTCAACTCCACAGTCTAATTACTCGTTTGCCTCTCTTACTTTTCTTTTTAAGGTTGAAAGAGAAATGCTTTTGTAGCCATAAGGCACAGCAACCACCAGGAAGAGATGGAAAAGTTTTTCATAGAGAGAAATCTTTCTGAGTATAGAAGTATAGAGCCCTTTAATGCTGCAAGATCTACATTCAAGGGGGAAAAAAAGGAAAGAAAACTGTATAATCACTGGTTACTAAAACAGCATGGAGTATCTCATCAGGCAGGCTAGTAACAAATCAGGTTAGCCTCCCAGAAGCACGTATGCGGATATCTGTCTACCAAATTATTTAAAAAACACAGTGGAGGAGAAGAAACATTTCCATGGTTTTGGACACATCGTGAATTTGATAGAGAGCATTGCTCTGTTCGCACAGAAAGATCTGAACATGACCAAGATGGGAGCACCAGGAGAGCAATGCTCTTCCTCATGTGGTGCGCCATGCTGGTGAGCTCCTTCCTGAAGATGCTGCAGTGACAAAACAGCGGCTTACAGCTAGACGTTTGCTAAGCAGAGCTCTTGGAGAACATTACCACGACTATCTTCAATGCTCTTGGTAGTCCTGAATTAACAGTTCCTTTTTTGTTGCCACATAGACCAAAATCTCACCCAATTCTCACTTGGAGATCATTTTCCCAAGTTTGTCTTGTTACTTTAAAAACATACTTTTTTCTTGTATCTTGATCTTTATTAACACAGGCAGAAAAGAAATCCTGAGAGTTCAACAACAGATCTTGCAATAAATCTCTTCATCAAACTGTATTCCCATGCTCTGCAAGCCTAATCGCCAGCATTTTGGAAACTCAGTGCAGCACTCTCAGGCCAGCTCATCCAGTAAGGCATTCTGCTTTGATGACCCTGGGGAGCTACTGCTTGTTTTTAAATGTCATCTACCACGTTCTCAAATTAGTCATCAATAATTTATATTCCTAGCTGCAAAAACACCTTTTTCCACAACACTTCATTGCCAGTGTTTTTTATCATTTGCTGGATTCTTAGCTTGAAAGAAGAAAACCAAACCTAATGTTTTACTGACACTTGTGGAGCTCTCCCACCCTGCTGGGGAAGCCTAAATACAAGCAGATTGGAGCAGAACAGGAACAAAGAAGCTGTGCTAGAGGAGCTTGCTCTAAAAACACAGCTGAGCATGCCGAGCTCCAAACGCACCGGAGACGCAGACAATAACAAAAAGCGAGGATGGAAGCTCTTGCTGTGAAACCTCTTGTCCCCGTGCGTCTCTATGAACACACTCAGCCCAGAAGGGTTTCGGCGAAGGCCAGCGCACGGCTCAGAGGCACAGCCAGGGCATGCAGCTGGGCATAAAGCCTTTTGTGTTCGCAAGGGCCAGGCTCCTGCCCAGGGAGCCATGTCTGCTTGCTCACCCAGGCTGGGGTGCTGCCTGCTGTGCCTCACTGGGGCCCCTGCCTCTATGGGCATTTCTCGGTACAGCCAGTGTAAGCATTTTTTAACTATTACTTACAAAATGGCAGCAGCTTCCCCAAGGCCATATCTTTGTTTCTCCGTACAATGCCGTGATTGTGTAAATTGTCTTGCATAAGCACATCAACCCACTCTGGAATTCATTTTTCCCCCCTTACGGCCTTTCATTGTTGTTCTTTTATGGTGGGATTTGTTCTTTTGCCATCTTGTCACAATTCCGCTCCTGTGGCTATGGCACTTTTAAGGAACAGCATGGTTAAGCCTGGCCTTGCAACTTGCCAGAGGTCCGGGGAGTGGCTACTTCTGAGGGCACTGCTGCTGCCAACCCGGGCTGGCTGGTTGCATTGTCACACAAGGCAGTAGAGCTCCCAAAAACATCAAGCCCATAGTAGCTACTTGGAAGTCTTACGTCCTAGTCCCTTCCTGCATATAGCTCCATGTACTGTCTCCTAAATCTAGTAACATGACTCGTGACACTGGAAAGCTGAGGAGTGAGAGAAAACTTCCCTCCTAGCGTGACCGGGCAAAGCAAGCCCGTAAGTTACGAATGCAGAGAACCAAGCCAGCAACACACCAGTGACCGTGAGACTAACAGAATTTGGGAGTAACTGAGGACGTGTACAACACTCAGTTTAAGGGGCTACCTGGCTGCCATTAATCCACAGCACCTCATTCTTCAGTACTGTGTAGCCACGTCTTTTTTCGGCCTGTCTGCAGAACGAACCACAAGTGAAACCAGACTCTGAGAGGAACTTACAATTCGGTCTTTGATGCCTAGACAGTGGCTTGGCTCTCCGGAGCTTCTTCATTTCTACCTGTCCCTACCTTAGCTGCATATCCTCCTTTAAGGACTCTCCTAGTAGCATACGAGCTCTGTCTCTGGATTCCTACATGCAAAGATCCATTCCTGGGGAACATATCAGTAAAGACAGGTATTGTTGATCTGCCAGCAAGGATGTAACCTAGATCTCTGTATTGCAAATGCTTTGATTAATCTTAAAAAAGAAGACCCACAGAGGTTAATTCTTACCGCACAAAGGTAGCCTTGTACTCCACTGAATGACCAGTAAGGAATCATCTCAAGCCTGTCTGAAGGCAATGGAAAGTCCATTGCCTCTCTGCAAGCTTTGAAATGAGCCTGGAGGGGGATCAGCCATACTGAACAGATATAATTTTTACGTAGATATTCTTCATAATACAATCAGTCTTTAATGGATAGCATTTCAAGAGTAAAAATACTGTATGTAAATACTCTAAGCTACATAAACAAAATAATTTTCTCCTATTAATCATGTTTGCTGTTGTAAATCTCTGTTTAGCCACATTAAAAAAGAATTATATCCTCAAGGCTTGAATGCTATAAAAGTTCAGATCAGACATCACAGACAAACCACAGAGCTTAGTGGAAGGAATTGTTTTCTTATAAGGAAAAGTGCATTACCTTCAGTTCTTGCAAATTTAGAGTTTGCCTCTTGATGTTAAGCTACATGATGTTATCTAACAACTATACTAGCAGGATGATACTAGATGAACATAGGGTTATGCTGTAGTCGAGGAATTAAGCAACTCAATGTGAGTTAAAAGTAATTTCCTTGTCTTGGTGCAACTTTGATGTCACTTCTCAGTCTGACACAACAATTAGGATAAGGCCCAAACACTGCAAACACAGTGGAAGTTGCCTTTATAATGCTTACAGTCCAGGTCTGCCTAGCGGCCTGTTTCCTTCCACAAATGTACAGAAAACTGCTTGCATTCATTTCTGATGAGCTGAAAGAGCAGAAATCTGCATTTCATAAAAATACTTATAGAAAGCTGCTGGCATCGGTGATTCAGAATAAAATACCCTTTCACCAGCACAGTGGAGAACTGTACCAGCTTTTTCTCTTGACATGTGTCAGCCTCATTGCTTGGGTATTAATATCAGAACTAAATGGTTTCAATTCAGAATTGGATCTGAAGCCTCAGCTGAGGACATGTTTTACTGAATAAGGCATCATTAATGAACCCTGGCATATGCTTCTGAGGCTATGTTTGGCACAGCCATACGTGAGACTTGACTTCAGTCCTCAGCTAAAATGCTTCATGTTGTTTGCTGCCATTAATATTATTCATGTTCATATTGTTTGTGTGTCCCAACACACCCGCTCATTGCGTTTCAAAGAAAACTGAAGGGAGAACTACCATGCTAGTTGCTAGATAAAACCGGCAAGGGCCTGCCTTTACTCTTTCCTGGTGTGGTTCCCCTGCTAGTACCAGTGCATGTTCTCATCAAGGCTGGGCTTTTCTGCTGACAGTAACAAGAGGGGTGTGCTGGTTAAAGATGTTCAGGGTCATTTTTATTTCTCCGCATTTTTTTTCTGAAGCTTGGCTTAGCAAACAAGAGAAAGATTTCTATCATGTTAGAAAAGGAATATTCTACCTTGGTTTCAGCTACAGTAAAAATTGTTGTCTGTACTGTTCATCTTGATCCAAACAAGTGATGGTGGGAACAATGCAGCTGCAGAACCAAAATACAGAGGAAGTGGTAGATTAATCCCTGCTTTTTCTTTTCTTTTTGAGAAAACGTGGAACACACCTATTTAGCATGAGTAAATCTCAATAGAGCACGTTCAGATGGACCAACTTTCCTACTTCAAAGATCAAGCATATGTCAAGAGAGTCAGAAATAAAAGATCACCAGAAAGGTACAAGTTGACATCTGCATGCAGATCATTGCACAAGGGACAATTAGACCCTGGGTCTCTAATTATACTAATTTTCAGTGTACTAAAAACAATGAAATAAATAGATGTACAGCTTTATTACGCAGCAGTAGTTTCCTCCCTGCCAGCCCAGGGGCGTCACACAGAGCTGGCACAGCCAGAAGCCAGTGGTTGGTATTGGTTAGCAATTAGCTAAGTCATACATGGATGAAGATTGCTTAGAGTCCCCTGCTCCTTTCACAAGTTTCATTCAGTAACCTTCATACCAGCTTTTCTCCAGCATCTGCGTCAGCAAAACTAACAGAGCGAAGAGGAGCTCGGCGCTGGACTAAAGGAGACTCCAATTGTCCTGAGAACTTTTCCCAAAGACAAATCTTTGCCTGGCCAGAGTGCAAAGAGGGCTATGGGAAAAATATATATAGCACACAGGAGGCCAGAAGACCTGGCATGTAGCAGTGTCCTACAGTCTATTGCTGCCATGACTTGGAGAACTGCCTGCTTAGAGGGGCTAATGAGGTCACTTCGAGATCATGGGCTAAAAGCTTTTTTCCATCTTTCTCCTCCTGAGCATAGACTTCCTTCCAATAACATTTCATCTTCCCAAAGAAACAGTCAGAACCTCCAGGTTTGAAGGAATATATCATACAGAAGGTCTACAGCCCAAACAGAAAATGAAGAATGAGTTTTTTTTATTTATTTTTATTTTTAAAGAAATTAACCTGATACCAACAAACCTTTAATTATTAGCTTGGGATCACAAAGCCCAAAATGCATGGTAGGGTTCCACCATGGCACAAGGCTTTCTGCCTGAGAACCAAAGCACAAACCTTCCTCACAGAGGCGCAGTGGCACGCAAAGGAGTAAGGTGCACTCTGCAAAGCCAGTGCCTCCAGTCCCAGGCAGGCAGCCCTTCCAGGCCTATTCCCTGACCGCAGAGTTTTTGCCCCAGGATGTTTTCTCCATCTGCACACTGCAGTATGAAAGCATTACTTGGGATGAATATCACAGAAGCTTCTGTTCTTTGAAAATCACATCTGATATCTGCCTACTGGCAAAACGCATCAAATGCCGGCAGGGGAGAGGGGGAACACAAAGCGGAGGATGCGAGCATGCACTGAGCTCAATAGCAGAACTCTTCTTGTTGTTGTTGGCCTGGCTATTGTGGCTTTAAATTACAAATTACTTTAAATTGTAAAAACATTGATAGCGAGCCCTCGAGAAGGATCCCCAGAATGGCAGTAAATAAAGAGCATCCTTTCCCTTTTCAGACCACGATAACGTGGGAGGTGATACTAAACCCTTGGCAAGCACTGCAGACCTCAGAGCTAATGAGTTGAAAGGATGTGCATATACACAGGGACCCGAACAAAGGCCTTCTAGTACACAGAAAAATCACTGCAGTAATTACCTTCGAGGTTGGGCAGTGCAACACATTTGTTCTTCTAACTTTGGAGTTGTCCTCCAGCATTTTTACAAAGGATCCTGTTACCCTGGAGCTGGCAGGTGGCTTTGCACGGATCCTGGGGGCTCGCTTCCCTGGGAAAGCTAAGCTAGCTCACAAAGTGCTTCCTTGTCAGACCCCTTGCCACTCTGAAAAGAGGACAGATCTCTCTTTCTGCTTTGTCCCATGTCTGGACCAGCGGCCGGGAGTCCCACCTGCTCCTGCAGCTCACATCCCCTGAAACCAGAGCCCACCCAGCAGCTGCACAAACCATCGGGGCAGGCCTGCAGCGGGGCGTCGAGCAGTTGCCAGCGCATGGCCGCGGTGCTCCCTTCTCCTGCCTCCGCCTCCGCCGTCCCCGAAAGTAAACACCGGCAGCCCCCGCGGTGAACTCGATTGCGAAACCGCATGGCACTGAACTTTATCTCTGCGCCGAGCAGGCTGCACAAAGGAGAGCGGCTCTGGTCGGGATTTTTCTGCTGCCAGCGAGAGAATTCTTTCCATAGCTCGTGTGTCCTCACTAGAAAAGGAAGCGTGCTTTCAAACACGCAGATGAACGTGATGTTGTAAGGCAGCTCGTTACCTCGCTTAGGCAGGGCCAACTCAGGTCTAAAAATGCACATTTACATGCAGTTGGCTCCATCAACATTTATCCCGTTTCCAACAGTACAACTCCAGTTATCTTTTACTCCCCCCCTTGAAGCTCTCAATGTAAAAAAGCAAAAAAAATGTTTTAAAAAAGGCAAGCCAGTCAAGTTGCAAAGCTCATTTTCCGATCACAGCAACTTCCTTGTGACCAGATAATGTGAACGCGTTTTGGTTCAAGCCTAATTATAACAGCATGCAGACACTGATGCAGCTTTTTTCAAGCTGGTATTTCCAAACTGGCAAAAGCTACCACATCAAAAATGAGGAAACCACTCCCTTGGTGAAGAGATGATGGTACATTCAAAAAATCAGGGGAAAAAAGTCCTCAAAAAGCCAACAAATTCACTGAAGCTATCCATACACTGAACTGGTGGTCCATGGATGTGAGCAGTAATGCTCTACAGATGCCTTGCAATCCAAGTCAAGTTGAAAGGAATTCTTAGTCTCACCCACACAAGAGATCCTGGGTTAAAGCCAGCTCCAGAAAACAGCGCTCCACAATGCTTCTCCCATGTAACAGAGACCTCTTTTGGTTCCCTCTTTGATTATGATGATTCTAGCAGCCAGATAAAGGATCAGGATCCAGTTCCTCATGCTGAGAGCAAGTTTATCCTTCCCCCTTGCTTTCCTAACGATATTTTGGTTTGAGTCATTTACTCAGTGCCATGACCTGAAGGAAGGACACTGTCTTGAAAATTTTTAAAGCCATCTGCAAGCATTGAACATCCACTCAACCTATTTATACACGTTCTCGTGGAATAGGAACAACAGCCCCCACCTTAGTTTAAATTTTCTATCTCATGTGTCTCAATATTTACAGGCTAAACCACTGTTTCAGTTGAAACTGAACTTTCAGGACAGATTTGGGCTTTACTACTTGTGCCTTTCCTTCCTCATCTGTCTGGAGATATAGATACCTGTCTGCGCATTGCCAGGCTCTGAGAAGGAAAACTAATGTACGTGTGTCAAGGGGAAGAACCTGAGCGGAAGAAGAAGACTCTTACTGCATTTAGGCCACAAAAATTATTAAAAACAGGAGAAGAACCAGCTTCAGGAGGGTGGGTAGCTTACAGAGCTAACCCCTGGTCGAAGCACACACTAAATCTCGCTGTAGCTTACAAGGTCTCAGATTTCAGAGCCTTGGAAGATTAGCAGGCTAAGCAGTGGTGAGCTGTGCTGTTCACAGCATGTTCTTTGGGCCCTCAGGAGAGGAATCACAGTTTAGTTTTGTTTTTATAGCAGATTTCTAGCCTTTTTCCATTGCTTTGAAAGTAAAAGTATGTAAAAGTATAGCGAAGGTAAATTCAACAGGGCTTTTTTTTTTTTTTTTTTTTTGTAGCAGGAGGGAAACGGGAGCCGGTGCACAACCCACCATGGGTGCACACAGACACGTAAAATGGCTGAATGAAATCTGAGGTGACTCACTATTTCAGCGTATTTTGTAGGCCATGTTCCAAAATGCCAGCTGTTACGTCTGTAACCCTCCTGTAGCTGCAAGCAAGCCAGTTGCTGCTAACTGCTTGAAATTTCTGCCGCTGCCTTCACACCAGCGTTCGTCTACCTCTGTGCATCTTTGCTCTCTCTCATTTCCTCTTCCGGGGATCATTTCACTAGTAGGGATGGGGAGGCATTGGATACCCCAGGTCTTTCCACTTCCCTAAAATCTAGAAGCTTCCCAGGAACATCTGCTCCTGCCTCCATAAGCTTTCCTACCACTTCCAGAGAGACTGCTTAATCCCCTCCCCATCACCTAAGGAGAGAAGAGAAAGCAAAACAGATTTCCTCTCTTTCTTCCCACAGCATGAAACAAGCACTAACTGGGTCGGATAATTTTTCAGGTCTCCCTTGTGCAAAGATACCTAACCGAATCGTCCTTAGCAGCTGTGCAGCCCTGACTTATGTCAGTGGGGTGGCTGGCATCTTGGGCTAGAAATGCATCTTCACATGAATATTTTTTTTCTCTGTCTCCATTATGTATCTTCTCTCAGTTAGAAATATTCCAGCTGAATATAGATTTGTTGGATGTATTCCAACAGAACTCACTGCTCCTGCAGCCAAGTTAAAAACCTGGTTCGTACAGGACTGTGTGCTTCCAATGCATGGTTTTCCCCAGATTCTAATGTACCGGTTAAAAATCAGATCACCCCTTTCTGCAACAGAATCTGATGCTGGAGGTTACAGCAAATTCTAGCAAGTGGACAGAATTTTTCCTCCCTAATTTTGTTTTCCTCGGGGAGTTGTGGTTTCCACGTAAACACTTCCATGAGCACCCCCTTTGAGACACGCCTGGAAGAAAGTATGTTCTGCCTCATGCATATCCACCATATCTTAGCAGCTAAGAAAAATAGCTCTGTGGTCTCACTGCACTTCACCACAATCACCTCAGCCCGGCCGAGCTGCAAGTTACTGAACAGAACAAAGCAGAATAGGCATGCTGAGAGAAAGCCATGGCTGGTACCTTCACTGCTGCGTCTGGACTTGGCCTGTCTTCTGTGCTACATTCCTAGCTTCAGAAAACAGTGTTGGTAACCCACAAAATACGGTAAATAAGGACAGGGATAACATAACCTAATTTTCATTCACTACTCATTGTAGCGTGGAGCAGCAAGAGGCACCAGGCTGTGACATTGAAGTACAGCCCATTTCAGGCAATTTGCTCTAAAATCTAGATCATCATTTCAAAATAGTCAAAGGACTTTGTTCCTCACTATTCTTCTGTAGTGTCTGAAGTACACTGCTTTACCATAGAAGATCCCTTTTGATGTCCACGCACCTCCCCATAAGCCAAGAGCAATATAGTTAGGCCCTTGGAGGACAAGAGGAAAAATGTAAATGTAACTTATTCTTGGAAATAAGTTGGATCTCCAGCTCCAGACCAGAAAATCTTTGAACCTGCCTGAGCAAGCCGTTCAGTTTGTGAGCCCAGCCAATCTCTGGATTTGCTGTTATAAAAGGGACAGAATCCAAACCATGGACCTGGATGCTCATAAGCTCTCAGGCATTCAGTATTTCTGGATTCTTTTTTTTTATTTCATTTTTTCAATTTTACCCTGAGCCCACTGCTAATTTTTCATGGAAGACATCTCTGAACCTTTTGGGTTGGGGTTTTTCCTCACATGCACTCATGTATGTCAGCATCCTATTAATCTTATCAAGTAACTAAATAAATATTACATAATACTTAATAAGCAAAGCCTTGAATAATGAGTTTGGAGCAGAGCACCCAGAGACTTCTTCCACAACTTCCAAATGCAGGCTCAAGAAGAAAGGCAGTCCTGGGATTTACAATGACAGGATGTTTGTCTTTAAGGTGTGCACCTCCAGTAAGCAGGTTCTGAATTCATCTTGTGCATAATCATTGACGTTCTTCCCTTTGAGCAAAATAATCATTCTCGATCCCAGTGGAACAAAGGGAGAGGCAGACCAAGCAGAAGAGTATGTGTGGAAAAGCTTGCAGTGTGGTCACTTGGTGACACAGGGACTGCGGAACAGAAACCGAAGCTTAGCGTGAGCTGCCCAACAGGACAGGGGACAGAAAAGCTTTGCATCCAAGGGGTGAAATTCCAGAGGAGTTGGGTTCTTGTTTGTTTTCTTTTCTTCAAGCTAAACAGCTGGCTGGGAAAGTCTGCTTTCCCAGGGAAACCTAAGCCCTGATGTAGGTAAAATGGCCTTTGCTTTCTCCTGTTGGTCTCTGCTTTGTGGCTTTCTGGAAACACATTTCTGAGCAATTGAACGAAATTTTATTTTGGTCTAGAAAATAATTGAATAAACCAAAACACAGATATTGGTGTCTGGCAGGAAAATGTTACGTGAAAGAATAGTCTGAGGTTGTGCTGGTTAACTGCACAGAGCAGAATTTCCAAAGGAAAATTTGCTTACAGACATTTGTAATTTTGGTAACAAGGTACTTTGTGGCCCTTTTTTTTTTTTTTCCTTAGACAACAGGACTGAAAAACAGATCCTCATCCAAATCCTGTAGCTCTTAGTTCTTAGACAACTGAGCACTCCTCATTCCCCTCAGAGCCTCCAGGGGATGCTGGGTCTCAGAAGGGTGCTACCTGGAATAAACTTCTTGCACTTTGCTAAAATGGCCAGAGGAACCTTATGGAAGCGGGGGGGCACTCAGGTCCCACTGTTTCTCATCACAACAGACATCTTGCTTTCAGCTTGCAATTTCCCTGGTTTATAGGCATGCTACATCTGTGTTTTATTCCCTGTGTTCAAGCAATACAACTCCCATTTCTTGCACTGCCTTAATATTTATTAGGGAGCAAAATGGTACGTGTGCTTTTGCAGTTGCTGCTGATTTTATATCTGAACCTTGTAGTTCCAGAGACTATTACAATAATCTACCGAGCTTTAAAGAAGTAGGGTAGATTGGGATGTTAACACACCAATTGGCCCCTTATCAGTAATCTAGGTCTTTTCTCTAGATGCATATCAGTAAAGACCTAGCTAAACAGCCATAAACTTCTACTTTCAAGCAGTGCATGCATCCTGCTGTGTAACAACCCTTTTGATACTAAAGATATTTCCTGTCATGTTTTCTCCACTGCCAAGCATTGATTGTTGACATAAGTGTTTCATTTAATAAATATTACCAGTGTGTACGAGCGTGAGGGGATGATTCAGCAGTGTCAGGGGCCACGTGGCAGCAGTCCTAACAGGAAGACAAAAGTGATTGCCTCAGAGCAAATAAATCAGGCCCCAAGTCTAGAAGACTTAGAGAAACATCATTTTTGCACTACACTGCCCTGCCTTGGGGTAGCGTTAATAATGACAACGTATCCATAGGAACCAATTTGTCAGGACAGGCATTTGCAAGTCTGCCTTTTAACTGGAGACATACAATGCCTGAAACCCAGAATAAGCCCAGAGCCGGGAGACCTAGGGTCTTCCCCCCAACCCTGCCCAGCTGGGTGACATGAGGCACACCTTTTTTCCTCCATCCATGCTTCAACTTCTCCTGCGTAAAAAGGGCATCATGACAGTAACCTCTGTAAAGCAGCCTCCTGGTCTGTGTAACTTCATTAAAACAAGACTCATCAAAAAGACTTCTCCATCTGCTGTCCTATCAGCCATACCTTTTCAAAGCCTTTCTTTATAATTAAAATTTAGGAAACTTAACAAATGTGGCAACTAGAGCTCAATAATTTCCTGGACAGCCAGTTAAACACATGGAGCATGTGACCAGAAACTCATAGCCAGTCTTGGGGGAACTCACTGAGCTATTTCTTTCTTTTTTGATGTAGAGAATTGATAACAGACTCCCACAGTTAAGTCCATGAAATCTGGTCATCCTTGAACTGCTATACCAAAAAAGATTAGCTTTTTATAGCAAAAATGCTGCAGGTGGAAATGCCAAACTACACAAACAGAAGCATACGCTACTGTTCCTTACTTCGGTTCCTGAGTATTTTTAATTCAGCTGTTTGGTTGTGACAGCGTTTTTTTTTAATGAACAAAATTTCTGTAAAGAATTACGATATAATGGAGAAAGCAAAGTTTTGCAGATGAAGATAAATGCTGAGGCTTTCTCATTCAGGAGGACCACATGCTCAAAAAAATGATTGCATCTGCGTCCTTGTGGTTATTTACAAATGAAAAAGCATTCAGTAAGAGGAGCGAGCGTTCCCAAGCTTCCCTAATGTTTAAAACCCAAATGTTTAGAAGCTTGTTTGTCAGCAACATATCAATTTGTGGTCTTTCAAATTCACAAAAGGTAAGTTTACCACGTTACTACTGGATGAATTCCATACAACCTTAATATGAGGCTGATTGAAAAATTAAATGGTATTTTAACTATTAGACATCTGTGAAAATCTAGTGTAAATCACAACTCCTGTCTGCTCTGTGTCTTTTTTTTCCTAATAGGCCAGGTTAGAATTACTAGTAGTTTTTGTAACTTGTGTTGAATAATTAAGTAGTGTTGTTATACTATTAAATACTGTGCAAAGTGCCCTTTTGTTACCTGAAGCAGACAGGGCTGACCCCACTGCAGACCCCAAATCTTTGAACTTTAAAATCTGTTGGGACTGGGAATGCGGTGTGAGGAAATATCAGAGCCAAGTGAGACCTGTAGGATTACTGTGTGCTCTTGCTGGATGAAAATTCTGTTTTTAAATTGACTTTGAAATAAATATTTAGCTATAGGCCTTTGAGAGCCCCGGTTTGTTTGGGTTTATGTTCTACACCAGCACGTCACAGTATTTGGTAATTCACATCCCTTGGGGTGGCTTCCTACTTAGAGCTTTACACAAAGAATGCATTTTCAGGCTAGATTTCCAGTAAATAACCCTGCAGTTCCAGGAGATGGACTAAAATAGCAGCATGCCTGCAGCTCAATGCCACTTATAGTTAAGTTCAGATCCCTCTCTATTATTCTGATGACATCCTCTTCTGTCCCTCCCCCAACACTAGCATCTTTGTCAGTGCCCTCTTCCTAGAGGCATCTTAGTTCTCACTAAGTCCTCCACAGCCCTATCTTTGTGAGCAGCCATACTCTTACGGCACCCTGCACCATGGTGCTGGATACTTTCTTCCAGCCCCACCCATCATCATCATCTTCCACAACCCGTTTCACAGCTGCAGTGTGAGTTCTGCCAACGCTGCCAAAAACCCATCAATGCCCAGCACCTTTTCTCAGACCGCTTAAGCACAGAGAAGAACAACCTCAAAAAATAGAACACTCCTAGTCAAGGGCAGGGACTGCCCACATGCTTCAAGAAGTATTCAAAAAATTCATTAGTGGATACAGAATCTTAAAATAATGTGGCAAAGATAAGTTTTATGAGCTGTAGTTGCCACATGTCCTGAGGTATAATGGTTTTTATTAATTGCAGAGGAGTTTTTACCATGCCTGATTCATTGTTCTCACTCTTTTCTATAAACTCCTGCTTGGTTCTTGGTCTCAGCAAGTGCCAAAGATTGGAACAATACATTGTATAAGGCATATTTCTTTTAAATCTCTTCAGGACATTATTTTCTAATTTAATTTAATGCCTTCTTATGTGAAAAAGAGCTAGGAGAACTTCCAGTTAACTTACTCTGCACTTCTGTCATGTACTTATTCACTCACTGTGTCTGAACAGTCCCAGTATTTATTTAGCCTTCCCAAAAGTCTTCTCAATCTCTACTCTTTATTGCTATCTGTCTGGAAATTGCTTTAATCTCTCCCATAACATTTTTGGGAAAGAGTGGAATTCAAGCTGTGATTAATGGGAGAATGGGAATGGAAAACAAGGTGATAAGACTGGAAGAAGGTCTGACATACATGATCTAACATCAGGTATTAACCTCAGTATAGTTTAGAATGGCTAAATGAAACAAAACCAGCAAATGATTCTTGATTTTGTAATGCCAAATGGCTCACTAGTTTTTCAGTCAGGAAAATGCAACTCCTAGGATAATTCAGGTTGGAAGGGAACTCGAGAGATTTCTAGTCCAAACTCCTGTTCAAAGCAGGGTCAGCTGTGAGATTAGATTGCATTACCCAAGGCTTTGTCCCATCCCAGAAAGCTCCAAGAAGGGAGGCTGCGTGACCTTTCTGGCAGCCTTGCTTTCACTGCTTGACTCTCATGGTGAAAATGTTTTTCCATATGTATGCCCTGCACCTTGATAGCTTCGGGTTCTGCCCAGTGTGTATGCCCTGATGAAGAAGCACGGCTCCACCAGCCTCTCCTCACACCCCAGAGTGCTGGCTTGGCTGCCAGGGTGCGTTTCTCACCTGGGTCCCTCTGCTGCCCATCAGGGTCTCCAGGGCCATCCTGCAGCAGTCAGGACCCAGCCTGTCCTGCTGGCTTGGGCTCTTCATCCCCGGGCAGGACATCACGTTATTCCTTGCTGAGGTTCGTGCAATCTCCATCTGCCCATTCCTCCAGCCTGCCTCGGTCTGTGTGACCGGGAGCCCTGCCCTCGAGCAGATGGACTGCTCCCCCCGGCTTAGTGTCACCCACAGCCTGATGAGCAAGCCCTCCATCACCTCGTCCACATCAGTGGTGAAGAAGCTGGACAGGATGGGTGCAAGGACAGGCCCATGTGCTATCCCACACATTACTGCCATCTGGGTAGCGTACGACCCGCAAACCACTACCCCTCAGGCCCAGTCACCCAACCAGATTTTTTCCAACCACATCAGCCAGACCATAACATCCTAACTCAGCTACCAGAGTGCTGTGGGAGATATTATCAACAACCTTAAGTCGAAGTGAATGACATCCACAGTTCTCCTCTCATCCATAAAACCAGTTATTTTATCGTGGAAGGCAATCAGGTATGATTAACCCTCAGGAAATCCATGCTGAATGCTCCCAGTCACCTCCTTCAAGTACCCAGAAGTGGTTTCCAGGAAGACTTGCCCCATGATTTTTCCAGGGACCACAGCAAGGTTGACCAGCTTTTTTCCTAGACCAATCTCCTGGCCTTATCACACAACTGAGAGGAAATCTGTGCTGAACAGCCCAAACATTTCTGAATCCGAGGAGCTGTTAATCACATTTGATTAGCTTGTAAACGAACTCTTCCAAAGTTGCCATATAGCTTTCCATACAGATACCATGCTCAGTTCAGCCCCCCCCAGAGTGCTTTATTCTCCTTTATGCCATCTCATTCCAGGACAGGGCGCTAACTAGCTGGCTGACACATCAGGGTGAGTTAGCAATGTGTTACGGAAAATGTGAGAAAAACATCTGAATGCTGAAGAAAACGTTATTTTTGATCTTGTTTTCATAGTGTTTTCTGTAGTCCCTCAACCACTTGCTTTTCTTCTCTCTCCTCCTTCTTTTCCTTTCATCCCAGAATGTTTCTCCTCATCCCATCTCTTCCCCTGGACTGCCTTGGCAGCAGGTATCACTGAGCAGAGGAGAAGCCTCTTTCGCACTTCTGTATAGTTTACTACTACTCACTTTTCCAGGAAAGTGCTTTCACTTATCCCATATTTCACTCTGCAGAGACACCTTGGCCAGCATGTGGCACATTTTCCAGTCACAGATGTCTCTATCAGATTCATGCCTGGCTCTCGGAGACGTGGTAAAAGGGTTTTTTTGTTGTTGTTGCTGTATTTGAACTAGTACAAATGTTCCCAAGCCAATATAAAGAAAATTTATTTATTCTCTTTGGCTCGTGCTGGAAGAGCAGGTCCTTCTGACTGCATGCATCTGCCTCAGTACATATGGGAGGGCTGATGTTTACTTCCAAATAAACAATCATCAGGCATGCCATTAAAGGAAAATGACTGAATTGTTAATACACTCCCTTTCAAACATGGTTACAGCTCTGGGCTTACACTAAGTGACAAAACATACAGCTTTTAGGTTGTGAATTTACAGTCGGATCCTTGGGCCTATGAAGATTTTCCTATAACTTCAAGGGAATTTCAAACTGAACTACAGGTCATGCTGTTTGAAATGAGTTACAAGACTGGAACCTAAGATTACTTTTTTTCCCCTAAAAAAGGAAAAAAAAAAACAAAACCACAAACCACCTAGCTGCCTGCTTTTAACTTCTGAGAGAGTGCAGTTGCACTGTAGAATCTGAGTCATCTTTAACAACAGCTATGCACATTTTCAGAAATAAGAACACTACGGATCTATTGCCAACAGAACAATAAGAAAACAACCAACAAAACAACCACCTAAACAAACTATGAAGGCAAGCACCAGATACAGGGTGATATTTCAAACACTCTTTTCTCTGATCGGATCTGTTTGTTGAACTGCTCCGTGCTAGCAGTGGGCTGTTCTCATGCAGGAAGGAGAGAGCAGCAGCAGGTCACTACGCAGTAACTCAGTTTGCTTCAATGCAACCAGCCAGCATTTGCAAACCACTTTGAAAATGGCTAAATCCTTGGAAAAAAGGAATCACTTGGTCTGACCAAATGAACATCCCATAATCTTTTACTTTTGTTCCCTTCTTTGACTTTCCTTTTTTTCCACCATTACAATATAGTGAAAAAAGGTGCCAGGAGAGGAGGGAGAGAAAGAAGGAGAAAGTAAAAACCCATTTCCTTGGCAAGTCCAACTCATGTATATTCAAGGAGTTCTTCTGGTCAATCTTGCTTAAGGTTTTAACCAAGTTGTACCCGGAGAGTAGCGTCCTAAACCACCACGAAGGGCAAATCCCTGCTTTGAAACTATCTGTACTCGCTGTTATCTTTGCATGGCTGAAGAGCTAAGTTGAAGGGGAAAAGTGAACTGGTTGGATCGTGCACAGGCAGCCGTTTCTGGAGAGCAATGCTCCCAAGGAGATGCAGGGACTGCAGCAGCTTCAGGGTGCTGTGCAGGCAACAAATGGGACACCTGCCAGTTCTCAAACTGGATGAGAGCAAAGCTATAGGTATACAGCCTCTGACTTCCACAGCTGCTGGGGAAGTCTGCATTACATCAGTAACATTATAGCTCTCCTATGGCTGTTCATCCCGGGCAGTATTGCAGCCCCGATTTTAATTGTATCGGAAGTAAACTCAGCAGAAAAGCCTCTTTGTCCTGAGTGATGGACAACTGTTTACTTCCAATTTTATGCAAGGCCACACATGCATCACAAGATGAAAAAGACACCCACCCCGCACCAACCAGTCTTTTCTCATGGTGTTTCTGGAGGATGTGAGCAAGAATTGTAAAGCACTACAGAAAGAACTGTCACAAAATCCAAAATCCCAGTCCCAATTAAACAGTCTCGGGACCTAGGAATTAGCCATTTTCATGTCTGTTTATCCTTGCACCCATTTGACTTAAATGGATAACATAGCAGGGATTTTTTTTAAATGTATTTTTATGTGTAAATAAAAGGCAGGATTATTAATTCCTAGCACAGCTTGTCCCAGAAACAATTACGGACTCTGTAGTATCTTGCAATCTTGGCAGCTGTACTGTCATCTTATATGGGAATATAGATGCATGTTTGTCTTGAGAGCTCCCAAATCCCGGCATTCTCCTTAGGAAAGAATAGGACAGGAAATTTCTGGGTTACTGGGCTCTTTGGCGCAGCTGTCTCTTTTGCTTTCACACGTAGTTCTACAGCAAGATGAGAGCCATCTTAAGTAATGGAAACAGAGTCTCATTCAGCAATGATTCTTTTCTCTTTTGTCTGATCTAAAATGGTCTGAGTGTTAGGAAAAGTAACAAGCACTGAACTTTTCCCCACATACACAGCTCACACAGTGGAATCAAACAGAGCTGAGATAAGAATATTTTTCTTTTCTCTAAGAAAAAAGTGGTTGAATTCAGATTCCATCGAATTAAGTTTACTGTTGGAGACATAAGACCAAGATCCACTAAAATTTTGCTGATTTCCGTCATTTTTTTTCACATGTTCTCAAAGTTAAATGTACATTTTAGATCTTGCTTGGATCAGATTTTGTGCTAGGGTGAGTCGACTTGTGACAGAAGATACACGCAAACACCTAGGTCTCAGCTCTCATGCCTAAAACTGTTAGGTATCGAGCGCCAATGACACAGGCTTTTTTAAATTCTTAAATACTTTGTCATATCCTGCAGCCCTTAATCAGTTCCAGGAGAGTTTTCCTTGTACGGTAACGGAACTTAATCCATTATTCCTCTTTCACTCTCCTTTTATTCTATTTGACCCACCTTGCTATGGTAAATCTAAAATTATTAACTTAGTTTGCCTTACCACATTCGTATTAAGCCAAAAGTAACTGGTGATCCATGAGGAAGAGCGAGGGATAAGGAAAGATATGACACATCGCAGGTACCATAGTGGAATGAAACCTTCATCCCTTCAAGTCCTTTTTCTGGCTCTGGAAAGGTTTGTTTCCTTAAATCAAATTCTCCTTCAGCCCTATTTTGTGCTTTATATCCAAAAAATGTAAGTAGGAAAGGGCCTACAACAAGAGGCAGAAAATCACGTCTACTGAGTAGTTTGCATATACAGTTTCTGAGTAACAGGTTTTGTCCTTTTTTTTTTTTTTTTTTTAACATAACCTGAGAAACAATATTAGCTTGCTAGAAAGGATAAAGAATACGTACAGAAGAGGGAATGAGAGAAAGATACAACCAAAGCGCTAAAGATGTAACAAGACTACAAGCATGGATTTTCTTGATGGGCTACAAAGCTTGAATCTCCCTCCCAGGTTTATTCCAGTGTGAGACGACACAGAAGAATTAGGAATTCAAAGTGCATACATTTGCACAAAGCTTAAAGGAAAGCACAATAAATATTAAAATATTGATGGTAATCATACGTTTCCCATCAGTTCTAAGGCTCTCAGTAGAAAATAAGGAAACAAACAAATAAAGCTTCTAATCTTTTAGTGCCTTACATTCAATTCCCTCAAACCAGATACTGATTGCAAGGGAGAAAACATCACCATCCCTCTATTTGCAGTTGTCCCTACGGGAGCTGCATCTTATTCCCACTGAATTCTGCAGTGCAGCTCCAGCTGTTGCCAGTGCAGCCTGAGCTGAAAGCACACGGGCCATTCAGCGCTCCGTTATCTGATTCGCCCATGGATTACTAGCAGCGTGATTTGCCTGTACCATAATCTGTTCACACATCCTGACAAGGAAATGCGCAGCTCAGAAGGCATACAATATAAACCACTGCCAGAAACCAACTGTGCTTATTTTAGGCCTCAAACAGCATTAAACAATTCCAGCAGAAATAGCCAACTGTTGGACGGCAATAAGATATTATCTCAATGTAGAATATTTCAGAGCAACACAACCAGCTTAAAACTGCATGCATTTTAACTGATGACACTGACCACAGCACACAAGCCCCAGACATACAACTGAGGAGAAACAAGCCAAAAGACCTGGGGAGAAAGCTCCTTGGAGTCCTCTACATGTGATAGAAACAAGCACTGTAGAAATCCTCTGATAATCCCCTTTTTGGGCTGTGTTCGCAGTGCTATCTACTTCACTTCCTATGATACTGAATGTTATGCAGTCCTTTGAGGTCCACCACTAGCCATAAATCCCAGGCAGGAAACAGTTCTCATGCCTAGGAGGAAAGACGGCGTTTTATTTTCTAAAGACAGCTCAGCGTAACCAGGTCAAACCAAGTTTGGAATTGAAGCTCTTGAAATCCAGGATATAATTGAGTATGTTTTTCTGTTTGTTTTGTTACCGGTTAACCGGATGCAACAAATAAAACCATTTTCCTTTCTTATTTTCTCTCTCTGGCTGTCTCTTTGGGAGCTCCTTTTTGGGAGCCAACCTCTCCATAAGCCAGTGCTTGAGGTCATAGCTCCCTAACTTTTAGACATCTGCTAGGTCAGATGGACTTGAAGAGAATCAGCTGCTTGCAGCGAGCACATTTTTAGCACGCTGGAGTCGCTGACAAATGTTGAAGATATCTATTGCTTCTTCTGCTCGCTAAAAAATACATACAACACCCCATTTAAAATTCCTTGATTTGATCAGAGCTCTATTTCCAAAGCTGATGCAGAGCATTAGATTAAGGGTTCATACCCTCAAATGTCTAAATTGTAATCTACAGTAACGGTAGAAACAAGTACAAAACAAAAATACTACCTTCACTTTTGGCATTACATACTGAATTTGGTCCATACTGCATTACTTTTAATTTTTTGAAAAATCATAAAAGTGCAGTTTAAAAAATAAAATAATAATTTAGTGTTGAACGCCTGAAAAATGGATTGATAAGAAAACAAAACTCCATGATCACTGAAACATAACATCCAAATCCAGAGCTTCTCCAAAGTGCTAGTTGCTTATAAAGCACTTAGTAGCTTCTTACATTCATTATTTAAAATGGTTCAGTTGTTTCAGTGGCATACATAAGAACAAGGCAAATAATGCCTCATCTCTCCAAGAACAAAAACACGTATACAGATGAAGAAAAACACATGTAATAAGAAATTATTTTGTCTTTTTATGCCACCAAAGGCTTGTCCTAGATCTCCTTCAAGCCACCTTTTACATAGCATAAATGAAATGTTATTCTAAAATAGCAGCAAAAGCGCAGTCAGTTTTTACAGTAAGGAAAAAAATCTGCCTGGAAAAAAATACACCAGGCTTGATTCAAAACTTGCTCACTCGCTGGAGTGCCAGGTTGGCAGCTGTTGAAAGTGCAATGGGATTGAAAGGTTTCCACATTGCCGCTAAGCTCTAGCGCAGCGTGTTAGATATTCATCCTCGCTTGGCAAAGAGCAGCAGCCCCAAGCGTACTAATTTCTGTCAAGCTTTCAAAACTCTTATTCAGGTGCCTAAAAAAGTGGAAGGTACGAATAACTTGGTAACATACCCCTCAATGAGAACCTAGAAGACAGTCACAATTGCAGAGGATTGCAGCAAATGTCCTTCCTTACACTTCAGCTCTTCTGTTGCGTGTAAGAGGGGAATGCTGGCAGCAAGATTCACAGCCACTATCAATCCACCAAGACGCATCTATCCATCTATAGATATTTAGACAACCTAAGGATGAGTCCTCAGAGATCTTCACCCAGTCTAGTGTCATGTAAAGAAATAGGAAAAATCATCACACATTAAAAATTCTTTTAAACCTTGCTCATTTTATCTTGTCCTCCAGTACACTTTAAAGTTTGTGTGCAGACTAAGAACTACTTCCAGTTACGCCCCTCTTCAATTCAAGTCTGCTGAGACAAAGAACATGAAGGAGGCAAAGTACACTCAGCAACTGATGAGGTCTCTCTGCAAGGCTACAAGTCTTCCTCTATGCTTCTGCAAAAAATAAAATCTTAAGAATAATTAAATAGATGTAGTGCATTAATATGAGTTACGTTTTCGCATTCAAAGCATTTTTTTATGTTTTACTTTGTTTACATCACATTAAACCAGAATGACTACAAATTGTGAGGTTAAAGTATTGAAGTTCTCATTTGACAGCAAGTCGTTTTGATTCTATCTGCATCGTTCAAGTTAGAAGGCAAAGCATGGGGAACATAAGGATTTTAGCTCAGCATTTGGCAGTCTCATTGTTCACCATCTCCACCCAAAACAAGAAATACGCACAGGTTAGTCACTCGTGATTTTTTCAGCAGAACTGAGTTATGAGCTACCACTGGCACGTGGTGAGTGCATCACAGCACCGCTGTTCGTTCTCACTTGTGCCAGCTGTGCTCTGTGCTACCAGTACTCCCACACCATACTGCAGAGAGGCAGGGCCCGAAAGGAGTGTGGAAAAGGTACCACAACTCTGGCAAAGGGCACCCCTGGGTGACAAGTGGCTGGCGGAGGGCTGAGCATCCTGAGGCAGCACCAGTTGCTGCTTAGCTGCTTGTTGTCCACCCCCTGGCAGCCACTGCTGACCCTGCCACGCTGAATGCTTCTGCCTGGCCCAGCACAGCAGCTCTGGCATGTACACGTGGGGACAAAGTGAAGCATTTCAGTGACAAAAATAAACACCATCAGTTACAACAACAACAAAGTTCTGACTCCAAAGAAGATGATACTGTTAGATGGGTAGCACTAGAGCAACAAAAAGTTAGGGTGTAAGGCGTGATGTATGACATCTCAACACAGGATGCCCTGACCGATTGCTGATAAGAGGCACCATTCAAGACACGACTCAGATACTGGGTAATCCCAACCTTAATTCTTTACAATCTGTGGAGAGAGAGAAGTAGGCTTGCAGCTCATTTACTGCATTTTACTTGGGAGTGAGGAACGAGGTTAGCTGGAGAATAACTGGGATCATTTTGTTTTCAAACAGAGTTCACATTTTATTACTTCAAGGAGGATAAGGTGAAGGCTGATGCTGTACCTCACTGACCAGTGTGCAAGAGAGGCCGTCCTGTTCTAGCATGCAGCGTGGTCTGATCTGATTGTGGAGCTGGAAAGCACCACAGCTCTTGGACAAAATAAGACAGTTAATGTTTTTAGCATGTAATTCAACAGATAGACACGTCAACTTATCCATCGTGTGCCTCTCAGCTTGTTTGTGAACGGACTTAACCAGCATGTGCGTCGATGTTTATGTTAGCACAGCCCTTTACTGGTCTGACTCACTAAGTGACTGGGCTCATATAAGTCAATGCACAAGCATACCCCTGGCATTTGCTGAAGTATCTGTCATGTTGGGAGTCCAGTTTTATAGTATCTGCTGAGAAATCATATTCTCAAGCCCTTTTTGATTTCAGTGCTGTCAGGATTCAGCTCCACTGTGTTATTGTTAATGCATGCAGCAAGAAAAAGAAAATAAATTCTCTTTGCTGTAGGAATTATGGAAAGAAATGCAGTGGGTTCTGTTATAGAGACTTAATTCCTTTAAACACTAGAATCTATAAAACACACTAGGAACAAACCACTACTCCTCTCTGAACACCACATTTTTATCAGCCTTACACCCAAAGACTAACAAATCACAAAGGAAAGCGCTGTGGGCTCTGTTTCAGTGTGTCCAGGAAACAGGAAGCAGAAAAAGGAAACGCACGGTGTCATTTTATCACAGCTTAGGCCCAGAACACCAAGTCTCAGTATCTTTGGTTTTTGTAAGAGGTTCTTTCAAAGAGACCACATAAGCAGAGGACGGCAGTACCAGCGAGCTGAGACCTGGCAGCGGCCTTTGCCTCAGGTTTTCAGCATTCTGAACAATGATTTGGGTGGATTTTTACACTTGGCAGTCAATCTAGAATCAGGCTTTTAGACTGTTTGAAGGCTATTCTTTGTGGAGGCCTGATTTTGCTAAGGTTTTACTCTAACGAATTAATCTTTACAGAAAGCCTCCTCTAGAGGATCTTTTTCCTGCAAGAGGCCCCCTCCCATGCATCTCCTTTCAGGGGATGTGAATACTGCAGCAAGGCCATGGCTGTAGCAGATACCGCAGAGGTCCTTCATTAAAACAAAAGAAAAGGCACAACCTGATATTTCCAAACTGGGACCAGGACAGCTATCTCATCCACAACCTTTTGAAGGCAAGAGGAACTTTTTCCTTGATTTCCACAGCCCTTGCCCAACCACAAGTGGATGCACACACGCAGGTGTGATGTAAAACTTGCTCTGACTCAGAGCACTTGCAGCCAGGCTTGATGGGGAGACAGGTCTCCTAACACCGGCTCTCCCCCCTGCAAGACACATCCTATTCTTAGAGCTCATCCTTCTAGGAGTTGAGAATTAACGACCAGGAGGGCTCTTTTCATAATTTGCGTTCCCTTGGTCTTCTCTGCTTTCTGTCTTTGCTGATGAAAGTGCCTCCTGCTCTCCCAGTCTTGCTCCCCTTCCCTGATTTCAATGGTTCAGATGTTTGGAAAAGCTTTGTAGAGTTCTGCAAACTTCTGACAGCTATGCCAAAGCAAACTTGAACTCACAGCCTTCTGAGGCTTTCCCATCACTGCTGACACTCTCTTGGTGATGTGCCTGCTCTGAAGTTCTTGCTGGGGTTTTCTGACCATTTTTGCACATCCACTGTGTTACAGCTAAATGAGCTGAGGATGCCAAGGGAGAAAAAAGAAATCTGCATTGCTTTCGCTTGGTTGGTTGCATTACAGAGGTGTTTACGTACAAAAAGACTGAGAAAGAGAGAGGGCAGAAAGAGAAAGAAGTGCATGCATGTGGATTTGAGAGAGCAGAGGAATTGTAAATGAAGGTGATCTTAGCGAAAAGAAGTCCTGTCTCTTTAAAAATAAAATGAAAAAATATCCTCAATGTTTTCTTTGGTCTTTTTCATTCTTTGGCAGCATCCCAAAGATTTCACTGTCCTTGTCTCCAGCATCTGGAAACCATCAGGGTAAACAATAGAGTGCTAGGAACTGGAACCCCTGCCTCAGCTCCCGTGGGACTTTGCTCTGGAGAACATGAGAACACAAACCATTGGACACCATGTGGTCAATTACTTCAAACTAACAAATCTGTGTGCCTTCCTATTTTCTGTTTTCCTTGGCACCACATGACCCTTTCACAATGGAACCCAGCTGTTGAAAAAGCCAGACATTTTCTTTTTTAACCTCTTGCTTACTTTCGTGCTTGCTTTCCACAGCAACCTTAGGGCTGGCATGTGCCCTAGGTAGAAGTGTCCCACTTATTAAACCCCTGGCTGGCTGTAATGTTTGCCTGTATTAGTCAGCAGAGAGCCTTGAGAGTATTAACTTAATGGGATCATGCTGTAACAAGGGCTCCACAGGTGGTCCTGCATTTTCTGGGTTTCCTGGCTTTGCATGCCTGCATTTCGAGCAGATAGAACAGGACAACTTTATAGCCTGCCTGTTTTCTGCAATCAACCATTGCACGTGTGATTATGACCTACTTTTTAAAGATTTGTTACTAGTGCAGGTGCTGTATTGGCAATTGCAAAGAACTAAAGTCATCTTAAAACTGAGGACTGTTGAGGGGCCTACTCCCTTCAGCCCTGTGAAACAAACTTCGGTCTGGATTAACCGTGCCAGTTCCAGCACTGACTGTGGTGCTCATGGGGGCTGTCATAAAATCCACGTTTTATTTCAAAAGACAATTTCTGATCTGTGTGAAACAGCCTAGTATTACTGACTGCATACAAGCCAAGACTTCTACACTACATCTAGGTTCATCCTCTTCCTCTATTTTACTTCCATTAGCTTACTCCAATGAGTAGGGATGCTGAACAATATTGCTGAGAGAGTTTTAAGGCTTCATCTTTACATCAACTTCGAAGTTGTTGAGCACTGTTAGCACACATTGAAGATATGAAAGAAATGTCCCAAACCGAAGTAAAACAACTGATGCATTTCACATACAAATAATGATACATGTTCTTAGATGCCCAATTTTATACCCAGAAGAAAAGTAGGTTCATAAAAATATAACGCTACAGCTTGAAGACAGGTATACCAGGGAAGTGCCAGGCAGGTTGGTCTCTGCTGCTAACAGTGCTACCAGAAAAGTGCCACTACAAGGGTTTTGGCACTCAACTTCATCAGTTTTGACCTCAAACAGGTGATAGCTTATCTGCTGAGCAAAGACCGTCAATTCTATCAGTTTATAAGGACTCTGGAGTTTGCATTAGTATGGTCAAGAGACTTGTTCAGGGTGACTAGGCTCACAGTGCTGGCTGTTTTGACCCACCCCAGTGTGAAGGGGCTGTCCCCACAGGCTGATGGGCAGTACTCTACAGGAAGATCTTACTAGGTTAGGTTGTTCAGGCCCTCACATCTTCGCTTTCCAGAGCACACTTAGTCATTTCCAGGGCACTATATTGAACTATACCTGCTTATTCTTACTATGATTGCAGAACTTATGGGAACTTGGGACCCTACCAATTTATTTCCATTTTTCAGAGAACAGTTGAGATTTTTTTCTTTGCCATCTTTGGATTTGTACAGAAGACGTTTTCGTACACTCCAGCTAATGCAAAACTATATGTGAAAACATTATAGTATAATACGTGTGGTGTCCGCTCTGTGCTGCAGACACTGACCATAATCATGAAAGCTGACAAGATCAAACTTAAAAGGCCAGCCAAAAGACCACTTGTGTAGGATCAATAAGTGTAATGCTTTAAAATGTTACCTGTAAGCTTGTGAAAGGTTACGCTGTTGATCCCATGACTAATGAGCTGAGTATCTGCAATTGGTGGGATCCTGTTCCTACACTTGCAGTGAAGTGCAATGTGCTTATTGCAGACAACGTTATAGTTCTTTTAAGAGAGATGAGGATGAATCATTAAATGGGTTTGCTGGAGGGACTCCTACTGCAGGATCTAGGCTCTAAGCCATTCTGTGGCTGGTAGTAAAAATATTTTGTTAAAAATTCTGGATCTGGCCTATAGCTCTGCA